GTAATTATTTCTTAAAATAAGTGGATTTTTTGTTAAATTGAGCAGACACTTTGGAATAAGACCATTAACATTTAAAATAAGAAAAAACAACTAAAGTCTCTTATTTCAAGGGCATAATATCTAATCATCTTATTTTCCGGCTTACATTAAGGGTGAATACACTTATTTTAAAACATTTTTACTCATTTGTAGAATGTTTTTGCAGCGCAGGAGTTCTTTCAAGCTGGGAACCTATTCATTCACAACACCTGACCCAAGCAGGAATCAGAATCAGAAATACTTTAATAATCCCACTGAGAAATTACTGTCGTTACATATAGGACCAGTTTGATATAACACAATTTAATACAATATATATAATTAGGGGGTCCCCGCTCCATCTAGACATCAGTTTGGGGTCCTTGGCCTGGAAAACGTTGAAGACCTCTGAGATACAGCACTGGGACTTGATCAACAGCCGATACCGCACCGTGACAATGTCACTAACCAGTAGGTGGCAGTAGTGTTCTTTGACAAACATGGATGCCTCCAGTAAAGCACATTCAGATGAAAATGACTCTGAATTAAAAACACTGATCATTTATTGAACAGGATGGAATCATTTCAGATTTAAAGAACTTTCAGAAGTTTGAATTCTGAATTTGAGCGACTTTTCCTTTAAAAGGATGAGGTGGAGGAAGAGGAACAAAAGAAGAGGAAGATGTGTGCAGAGATGCTGCAGGATTTGGAGGACAAAGAAAAGTCATTTTGTGTTTGATGTTTCATCAGCAGAGTTTAATTTGAAGGTTATTCTGTTACAGATCAACAGTTTCACTCCATATACAACTACAGGTACAATATTTTGTACAGGTCATATTCAAATACACAGTTTTCATTGGCGTATTTACAAAAAACACTTTATGTACACGTTTTCATGTCAGTGCAATGTCATTTTGTTTCAACAAACACCTTACAAAAAGTTCATTAAATTAATGAGTCGGGTTCTGATCCGACCACACGGACCTTAAATAAAAAGAGGCTACAAACACAGACAGTTCAGTAGTAGATCGCCCCGCCTGCCAACATGCTTATCCAGGGAGGGGGGCGCCGGCTGCTAGGCTCGTCGTTCGGTGTCTGAAGGTTGTGCTGAAACTAACGAGGTTTGAGCTACAGGAGGGAGAAGAACAAACAGCCGACGCGCTCGGAGCCGGGAGACGAACGCTACGGCAGAAAATGGGTTTTCGTCTGATCAGATCTGAGCGAGTGACGCTTCACAGCGGAGGTCATCATCAGCTCAGCGTAAAGGCAGAGCGGCGGAGGAGCAGCAGCTTTCAGCACATGTTCAAAACACACAAGCTCAACCAAATACATCCAGAATAATTCAAACCGCGGGAGGGGGGGGGCGCACAGAAAAATCCATCAGAATCCGAGCAGGAAGCATTTCAGCTTTTTGCTCACATTCACTTGAAATGACTGCAAAGGGAGCTTCATCCTGACAGAGACCGCCTGCTGCCAGACTGTACCACAGCTGGCTTCAGGGGGGGGGCAACTAGCAGGCAACCAGCTGCTATTTAAGACGACTTCCTGTTTGAGTCAAAGAGAGAAAGAAAGGATGAAGTGGGAGTTCATCGGCACGCTGACGGCAGGTCAGCCATTAATCTGAACATCTCAGATTATTTGAAATGGGATTCAGAGTTTATGAGCCGTAGGAGGTTTGTTCTGCATCCCGATGCTAAACGGAAACCTCCCAACAATCGTTCATTTACTGCAGGACGCGTCTCTCCTTCATGGCGTCACCTCAGCATCAGGAAGGTTTCGCTGCTAAACGTTTCCAATGGAGAACAATAAAAGCACGGATAAAATCTTTGGCAGCTTAACGTTTTCGGCCTAAATGTTCCAGGTTTGAGGATTTAGTGAACAAAGTGGTGTAAAGTGACAGCAGGGACCTAAGGTGCAAAGAGAAGCCCACTTCCTGTAGGCGTGGCCTCAGATATGCCTGATCTAAAAAGATCTGCCTTAACAGAAATATTTCTGTTTACAAAAATAAAACTAATCTTATAAAACACACAAAAAAAAGTCAGGAACGAATACCGAACACATTTAAGTTATTATTTCTGAAATCATGGCACCTTTCCAAAATCAAACCAGCTTCCAAACCACCGCTCAGATTTGGCAGCTCTGGGATTAAACTACGGGGGGGGGGTCTGAAATGTCAGTACCTGGTCTCTCCTACAATGGAAGGACCCCAATGTTTGTCGTTAACACTGTTTGAGAGGCTCCAGCTGCGGCGTGATGGGAGGCGATGAGGTAGCATGTGACCCTGATGACTCATCATCGCTGTGAAAAGCAGCTCCCGGTTCCCAACGCTCCGGATCAGGAACCAGTTTGCCGCCAAATGTGACACCAGCAGACATGATGGCGTTTCCATCTTCTTCTGGATCCAATCATCAGCCTTCAAACCCGGAGCCCGGCGTCTTCTTCCTCCTCTCAGGTCACAAACATCATCATCATCATCATCATCTGGCCACATCTGCATACATCAGGTTTATTATGGCAAAAATACACAAATGCAGATTTAAGGGGGGGGGTCTGACTAAGCTAGATTCTGGGCTGAGTAAAAAGTGCTGCGATGCCTCCCTATAGGCAGACAGAACCGCCGGCTGGTAGCCGTTGGCGGCCGGCGCTGAAAGCAGGCGCGGATGCAGTGCTGACGGAGAGAACGCGCTCACTGGAGGACGCAGTACTTCTTATAGTCAGACTCAAAGTCCTCATCCATGCTACTGGTGTCGGCCATCTTTTTGCCGTCAATCTTGGGCAGGAACTGGGAGTAGTCGACTCCTTGCTGCTCGTAGAACAGGATGTAGGCGGAGTCTGTGTCGATCTCCTCAGAATGGACTTCCTGTTGAAACAGATGCGCTAAATGTTAGAAAGAAAGGCCTCCAATCAAAGCATGGTGGTGGCTGCTGGGATGGTGCTGCAGATAGGCTGTGTCCTAACGTCTGCCCTCACCTCTGACCTCTCCATCACTATTCAGAGGGCTAACTCAGCGCTCAGACAGGTGGTCACTACGTTTCGCTCCCTGATGGCCACGTGACTCCGCCTCCCCGCAGGGTGCCTGCGCCATCTTTATTTGTCGCCGCTGTGACAACAAATCCCAAAGCGCTTTGCGAGGAGAGCTCTTGCAAAGCATTCTGGGATATATCTGCTCTTCCAGTGACCAAGGATGATCACTACTTTGCAAGTTGCATTGTGGGAAATTTTGAATCCACTACGTTTTCATCCAGTAGACGTTTGGACCCTCATTCAAAATGGCGTAACCACTACATAGGGGTTAGGGCGGACATCGGGACACAGCCTTAGAGTAAGGGATGTAGCGTTTGGGGTCAGAGGTCACGGCTGCAGAAACCAATGTGGCGTTTGCTTACCTTGCAGCTGCTGTCATTGTAACAGTACCACTTGTCGTTGGGGTTCTTGGCGTACGTCACATAGTGGCCTCCTCCCATGATTCCTGAATGACACTGAGAAGCAGATGGAAAAGCTTATTGACAGGCTGTTTCCCGGCTGTTTAAAGGCTGTGAACGAGCTGCGGTTACTGACTGATATTGCATAGAGGTTGTAGAGGGGATCCAGACACATGTCTCGGTGCTGAAGCAGCGAACCCTCTGGCTCCGCGTTGCTCTCTATGCTGCAGTCCGATCCCATGCCGTTGCTGTCTCCGTTCACCAGGATGACATCACAGTGGCTGCTGGATGCCTCGGTGCCGCAGGACGACTCCGATGCCATGGGGTCGCCTGAAGAAAGGGGCCCCGCAGCTGCTGCTGTGACTCCTGCCTCTGCGTCTGTCTGCGGCGCTCCGTCGGCTTCAGAGGATGCAGCGCCGTCTAAGTTCTCCTTGCTGCTGGACAGCCGATGCTTGCTGCCGAGCTGAGGCAGCCGTAGGCGGCCCGGCCGGCGACCGCCAGACTTTGGGCTACCAGAGGGGCTGCTGTTCCGGCTGAGAGAAGGAGCTGATCTCCTGCTGGAGGCGGGAGAAGCTGTGGGAAAGCAAAGGTGGGTGAATGTGGTTAGCGTCGCCCAATCAGCCGCCACCTTACTGACCTTTAACCTTCACAGCATGTTGGAGTTAGGGGGGGAATAACCTTTAGCTGCTGTAGAGCCGCAAAAACTATTGGATCCATTTATTAATTTCTTGTTTTTAATTCAAGCTGAGTTTTTACAGACAGACTGGATGACATCCTGCATGGCCGCCTCCCATCCACCGGCCATGTTTACTAAACATTTACAATCATCAAGTCATTCTAATCATCGAAATGGAAGAAATCAAAACATGTTTCATGAATTAACCAAAAAATATCAGGAATCTGTTAGAAACATCAGTTTAATAAAAAGAAGCGAATCAGTCGATCATTCAGGGAACAAAGTTATATTAACTGGATTAAGCCTCTGATCCTGATTTAAGGTCCGTCTTTCATCCAGAGTTAAATGTTTGTCAACGACTCAATGGACTGTTTACCATCACTACAGCTGACCTGGACAGACTGGATGCTGCTAGTCACCTACCGGCTGCTAGTCGACTACCAGCTGCTAGTCACCTACCAGCTGCTAGTCAACTATGGCTGCTAGTCCACTACCGGCTGCTAGTCCACTACCGGCTGCTAGTCCACTACCGGCTGCTAGTCAACTATGGCTGCTAGTCCACTACCGGCTGCTAGTCAACTATGGCTGCTAGTCCACTACCGGCTGCTAGTCAACTACCGGCTGCTAGTCAACTATGGCTGCTAGTCCACTACCGGCTGCTAGTCAACTACCGGCTGCTAGTCAACTATGGCTGCTAGTCAACTATGAGTGCTATTTACCCGCTGGAGACAATCTCTCCTTTGTGATCCAATTTTTTAATGATTTATTTCAATGTCAATTTTCCATTAATCCGAGTTTCCTAATTTCGTTTTGGTAAAGGTGTTTTCTCGGCCAACTGTCCCATCTATGTCCCATCTATGTCCCATCTATGTCCCATCTATGTCCCATCTATGTTCCTATCTATGTCCCATCTATGTTCCTATCTATGTCCCATCTATGTTCCTATCTATGTCCCATCTACGTCCCTATCTACGTCCTATCTATGTCCTATCCTACCAATTACCATTAGCGCCTGTAAACAACAGTGAGGAGAATAAAGTGACCCGAGAGCTCGTCGTTCAGGAAGCAGAGATCTAACACAGGAAACGAAACCTAGTTGAGACCAAAAGAGGAACTAAACTGAGCTTATATTAGAAATAATCTCTAATTAAATTGTGTATGTAAATCTAACCTAAAATCTAAATATCTGACATGGTGGTATGGTGCCCACAGCACAGGAGGAAATCTGCACGTCGCTGACTGGAACCAAGAATACAGCGACTAAAATAAGTGACGACGTAAAGTAGCACCTCTAGAAGCAGGAAAATACGGACCAACAGAAAAGCTTCTTAACACCTCATTTAGTTTATTTTATTTTTGTGTATTTGTCGTTTGCTTTAGGATAAGAAATAATTTGATGAGCCGCAAACTCAATTTACACCAACCCACATCTCTGATTCATACATGTACAGAGTATTTCTGGTCCATAAACAATTATAAATGACAAAGTACCAGCGGTCTTTAAACTTCACTGCGTTTGTTTGTGGATTTTAACCCTAACCTTAACCCTAACCCTAACCCTGGATTTAATTTAAGTTTAATTAAATCCAGTCACAACTGAGACAATCTTACAATTTCTAAACAAAGTTCTTCTGGCGGGCATGGATGAAGAGATGCTGAGTTTGGAAGCAGAGAACAAACCGATTTTGTATGATTATTATTCCTGTTAATAAGACCCGCAACAAATAGAAAATGTTTGGGCAGAAACGTGTGTGATTGATGCTGAGATTTAATGATTTAATGTCATTTTAAATTAGGCGTTCATTAGCGCATGTTTGAATTAAACAATCATTTAGGTCATGCTCGGAGCAGGACGGGAGGAACAGCAGAGGATGGAGGCTTTGCTTGGTGCATGTGTGGATCTTGTGTTTGCATGAATCTTGCTGTGCGTGTGTGGATCTAATATGTGTATTTGTGAAAACTGAGACAGATCTAACTCCATACGAACTGATCTATAGTTGAAGGTCATCAGCAAGAGGAGGGTTTAAACTGCTGCAGCTCTGTCTGTCATCCATGATGGAGACATTTGTGACGCATCAACCCCTATGCAGCCATTCATGCATCAGGCCTCCTGCAGCTGGACACAGCGCTGGAAAACGGGCTTCCCTCTGCAGAGACACTGATCTGCTGCTACTGGTACCTTTGGGCAGGTTGCAGAAGCCAGCTGGAGCAGAGATGGACGACAGGTTGTCTTCTCCGACCCTCAGCAGGTCCTCGCTCTCGCTGCGGGATTGGAGGCAGCGGTGCTCCAGGTCCCTTGGAGCCAGGAAGGCGCTGGGGTCAAACTTCTCCCGAGGGAATTTGACAATTTTCTGCGACTTTATCCAGCGGCCGTTTACGAACTGGAAGCGCTTCAGGTGAACAATCTGAAGGAAACCAACAGGGCAGATGAGCTGTTCTGTCTCTGATCACAGACGGCTGCAGTGAGAAGGGGGAAAGCAGACTTCCAGGGCGCAGGAAGGACTCACCAGGATCGGCGGCAGCCTCCAGAGGTCCAGCTTCTTGGTGGCCAGTCGGTGGGTCTTACACTTTGAGCAGTAGTAGAGCTCGTCCTCCCCCAGCTCCTCCTCACTGGTGAAGGCCTTCAGGCAGCTGTCCAGGCTGATGGGCTCAGCCTGAGCGCGGCGGGACTGCTCCACGCTGCAGTGCTCCTCCACGATCTGCAGAGAGGGCGCAGCGTCAGCTGCTGCAGGCCTACACTCAGCCACAGGGTAAAGGTCAATCCAAAAAAGGAATAAAAGCTTAAAAAACAATCCACTGTTTGAAGACGTTTCTCTTCCATCCAGGAAGATTTTT